TTTTCATACAGGACATCTGTTGTTCAAACTCAGGGAAGACTTTATACTGATGAATAAGGTGACCAAGTTTGATAAAGTTTGGAATTGAATTAGTAAAGTTATTATGCACACAATAACAATTATTAACGACGACGACGACAACAACAACGACAACGCCGGACAAAATTTTTCCCTTACTATACCTTTCCCTTCCATCTTTGATGGTACGGGCAAGGTAAAAAAAGATTATGGTCACCTGCAACCTCTCTTCTCATCTGTTCCAACATAACATCTTCATCTTCACCATAATTCTTCATACGTACATCCTTATCAGGTTTCCATAGTGATGTGTTCATTCTATTTTGAGTTGATTGTTCATTGTTTTCTCTCTCCTCTTCCTCATCCTCTTCCGACGTAACTTGTATAATCCGATGCTTTTTTTTCGATTTAACATATGATTTCTTTTGTGGCCTATAACTATCAACCTCATCACTGTCCTCATAACTGTTTTTATTTCTTTCACTCTCATCACTATCCGATAGGAAAGCTGAATGATAAGATTTTTTTTTAGTTTGACTCGATCGTGGAGTACTCAGTTCTCTTTCCTCGCTTTCCTCATCACTTGAATGTCGTTGCATGACTTTCTTCTTCATACGAGGACTTTTATGAACTTTCCTTGTAATAACTTCTTCTTCCTCACCATCAGAAGAGTAGGATTTCCGATGTTTTTTTTTTGGTTCGTCCGGCAATTTTCGCTGCTTCGTTGGTTTCTTTTTATCATTTTCTTTCTTGTCAGTAAACTAGAATGTAAAAGTAAAAGATTTTTTTTTATATTTTACTGACAGAGGGGAAGGGGAGGGCACTGTTTTTCATATAATTCAACCCGTGTAATACTGAGCCGAAATGACTGTGGTGATACCATATGCATTAACATGGGGTGAAATGTACATTTGAAAGGATGTGCATGCTAAGCACATGTTAGGATGTATATGCTAAGCACATGTTAGGATGTACATGCTAAGCACATGTTAAGATGTGCATGCTAAGCACATGTTAGGATGTGCATGCTAAGCACATGTTGAGATGTAAATGCTAAGCACATGTTGAGATGTGCATGCTAAGCACATGTTAGAATGTACATGCTAAGCACATGTTAAGATGTGCATGCTAAGCACATGTTAGGATGTGCATGCTAAGCACATGTTAAGATGTAAATGCTAAGCACATGTTAGGATGTGCATGCTGAGTAAATGTTGAGATGTGCATGCTAAGCACATGTTGAGATGTGCATGCTAAGTACCGTACATGTTACCAGATACATGCTAAGCACATGTTAGAATGTACATACTAAGTACATGTTAGGATGTAAATGCTAAGCACATGTTAGAATGTACATGTTAAGCACATGTTGAGATGTGCATGCTAAGCACATGTAAAGAGCAGGAGAAAATCAAAATTGATTTTTATCTTGATGTTAGTATATGGGCATCCTCTCAAAATCCAACACTGATGACTGATACCATAAACACAGAATATAAAATACAATATATTAAACTCAAAGGATGAACAAATAATTAGTTATCATGAAATACCATGGTTAATGGTGTATGAGAAATAAAAAAAGCATCACTAAAGTAACATAATAAATACATGATTAAACAATTGTGTATCAATGGAGGTCACTGGTGGGTCAATAATTGATTAATGTTTGGTTAGTGATGTTCTAATGATAGGTCAATGATTGATTAGTAATGCTTAAGGAAGGGTCAATTATTGACCAACAGTGGATCAATGATAGGTCAATGATGAGTAAGTGATTGATCAATGATGGCTCAATTTGTGGGTCATTGATGAAGGAGCAATAAAAAGCTACAAAATGCAGATTCAAATTAAACAAAATACAATATTATGTTTTATTTCTACAAACACAACTATTTAAAACATACTTTTATTTTGTCTACAGGTTTAAAAGGGTTGCCCATAGCAATATCGTCATCATCATCTTCTGATTCTTCTTTGTCTAAACCTTCTCTTTTTCGTTTTTCTTCTTCTTCCTTTTCTCTGAAAAGAAAGTAAAATTATGAAACAGTATCCTTGACTGGCATAGATTTGATCACATTACCAGCAGCAACCAATCACAAGGCTTGTTTTATGATACTGCTTTTATATTACAGTGTGACACATGTAGCAACAGAATTCAGTCATTTTCAAGCGTGAATAATTTGAAGATTTTAATGACAGTTAGTTAGTTAGTCTGCGTTTGTCTGTGAGTCACAACAATTTACATTCACAATTCTCTTTGACAAGCAAAATTTAGAAAAAAAAACTTTGAAACTCACCTTTCTTCCCTTATTTTCCTAACTCTTTCTATCCTTTCCTTCTTTTCAATTGCTTCAAGTTCTCTTTGTTCCTTTGTCTCATCTTCCACCCTTTTACCAAGTTCATCCCACTCTTCATTGATCATTAAAAGTAGCCATTTAAACCCTGCTTTGATGGACTTGTCCATTTTTTTCCCAATTCCAAGATTTGCAGCACATGTTTCCTACAAAGTACGAGGATGACAATATTATTAGATTTTTTCGCTCCATCATGAAAATTTATTGATTTATCTTGTATATGGTGATTGCCTATGCAAAAACAAAACCGTGTTTGATGCGTCAATGTTTCAGTTGAATTTTTGAAAGTGAAAACTGTGTTATGATTGTTGTATTTTTTCCGCAACGTTCTTTGAAAATGAATGTATGCATAAGATGTCACTGCGTAGATATCATTCCAGAGAACACAGCTTATGCAGCTATTGACTATACTTGGTGCACTAACAAAGATTCATCGCAGAGGACTTTATGTGAAGTTTGCTTGAGCAAATGAATTGTAACCCCCCCCCCCTCCTGAATGACATTTAATCGTAAATGCAGATGTTTGCTGATAGCATAGACTCACCACTCTGCATGGACACTTGCTTTCATTCACAAGGTCTTCTAGATTAAGTTGTTCACATATGTCTATTTCATCCAGAGCACCCTCAACATCTTGTTTGTTGGCTAAACTACAAAACAAACAAAACATTTTGGATAAGTATGCAGATCAGAAAACAGAAGAAATTAAATTAAGCAAATAATGCAGAATACACGACAGGGTAAATTTTATGTTAAATCAGTGGAAACATGTAAAGCATACGTGGCTCGAACCAACACACATGTAAAAATGATGAACAATGGATAAAAAAAAATGTTTCTGTGATGACAATCAAATTATAATATTCACCAATTTTCCAAAACAAAATCATATTATCACATTACTAATACTTTCTGTGATTTCATATTTTTTGAAAACAAATCTGACTGAAAATACCATTGATTGAAAAAGAATATGAAAT